CGCGCTGGCGGCCACGATGGGGCTCCACGACCCCGTCATCGCACTGCGCTTGCAGCTGGTGGCTTCGCGGCGCGGCCTGCGGTTCTCCGACGCGTCGCTGCGCGGTCGCATCAGGCGCGCCTGGCCGAGAGTCCCGGGGGCTCTACAGCGCGTGGGCAAGTGGCGCTGGAGGCGGGTCCGTGGGCCCATGGGCGCGCTGCAGGCTACGCTGCTGGACGCGGGCTGGGGCCCGCGCGCGGCCTCCGCCATGTCGAGGAGGACCTCCGACGCCAACTCTTGCAGCAGGCGTCGTCGCACCCGCAGGAAGACGGCCTCGTCGACGGCGCGGACTTCCTGCTCGCGCGCGAGCTCAGGAAGCTGAAGGCGCGAGGCTCGCCATGCCGAGCGGGGTCTCACCCTCGCTGTGGCCGCGGGGGGCCAGTGGACGCGAGCCCGTCGCGCCGATGCTGGCTACGCGCTGGACCTCGAGGGCCGCGCGAGGCGCGGCTGCGCGAGCGAGACACTGGCGCGCACGATTTGGCAGCGTCTTGCGAACGAGGGCGAGGAGTTTGACTCCACTGCAACCCTGGCGCCACGGGCGCTCGCCGGCCATGGGTCCTCGCCTGGCACGTGGCTGCGCGGGGTGCCCGCTGCGTGACCACCCCCGTCTTCTGCGACCAGCGGGCGGAGCGGGCCGCGGTGTCCTTCGGCGCGGGCGACGCGCTGGAGGCAGCGAGGCGCGACGACGGCTTCGTGGCGGTCTACGGCGATGGTTCTGGAGGCGCCAACGCTGCGCCAGCAGCATCGTGGTCTTGGGCCAGGACAAAGAGGGTGCGTGGTCTGAGCTGGCATGGTTCCGCGCTGCGCTTGTGCCTGGCAAACGGCAGACGGTACCACGTGCGGAGATCCTCGGCTGCGCGCTGGCGCTGGAGTCCGCCGGCGGCGACCTGGGGTACGTGACAGACCGCGAGCCTCTCTGGCGGCGCTGGGAGAGAAGGTTGGCCATCGTCCAGCCTGGGCGTGCCAACGAGAGCCTGCGGCAGCGAGCTCGCCAGGCGCGGCGGCGCAGGCCCCCTGGCGAGATTGACGTGGTCTGGGCTCAGGCTCGCTGGGGCAGAGCCGCACACCGACGTCGTGGACGTGGAGGCCCGCATGGTCCGCAAGCGGGCTTGCCAAACCATCGAGCTCGCGGCTGATGCCGACCTGCAGCGTGGAATTCGATGCATGGGGCCGCGACGGCCCGTCCTTTCTGCTGCCGCCGTGGCCTGTGTTTCCTCGTCGCACGAGCTGCAACAGTGCGGGACTGGCCGTTGGGTCTGCACGCGCTGCCTGTGCGTGGTCGGGCAGAGCCAGCTGCTCTGCTTCGCGGCCACCTCTTGCATGTTCAGGCCCCATGTCGACGCCGTCGGCCGAGGCTCGTAGCGGCGCGTCCGTGTCTGTGGCCGCGACCGAACTTCAGAAAGGAGGGGGAGGAGCCCTGGACCTCCATCCCTCTCACACCCTGCATGCTGTGCCTCTCCATTGTATCACGTATTGTGCACGTTGTGGTTTCTCTACCTCGATCGTGAATGGTGGCGATGCTCACCACCTGCGCCTACCTTGTCGGGGTGAGAACCTTGGTGTCGATGAGAATCTCAATCGCATTCGGAGGGGTCTGCTTCCCCGACGTGAAGGCCCGCCTCGGGGAACCCTCCGTGTCCAGGAAGCCCTCCTTGCTGCCGCCGCACACGGCGAGCAGGCTTCGGAGGCCGCTGTGGAAGCTCTCGAACCGAAGCCCGAACGCGCACCGGTCCCAAGGAGGGTCCCGCAGCTCAGCCTCGGGGAGCGAAGGTCACGCTCGGGGTTTTGGTGCCTGCGTGGTGATTGTTCCTCTTGCCTGGGGTGCGGGGCCCAATCGGGCCTCTGGTTAAACTAAACGTTCCTAAACGATTATCCTCCTCCTCGTCCTCCTCCTCCTCGTCCTCCTCGTCCTCGTCCTCCTCCTCCTCCTCTTCCTCCTCGTCCTCCTCCTCCTCCTCTTATTCTGATTCGAATTATGATTGTTAATATGTGTATTCCTCTTTTATTGTTATCCGTAGTATTCCCAATATTATTATTAGTGTTTCAGTCTTAGTATTCTCCGTAGTGTCATTCTTGTTATTCCTATTATCATAAATCTTCTTCTTAGCATTCTTAGGACTAGTCTAATTGTTCTGCTTATTATTAGTATTATGAGTATGCATATCATTCTTAGTTTTGTCGTATCAATCGTCTTAGTGTTATTATTGCTATTATTATCAGCAGCATCATCATCATTATTATTAGTAGTACTAGTATTATTAGTATTATCAGTAGTCGTATTATTAGTATTGTTAGTATTACTAATACTATTACTAGTATTCTTGTTTCTATGGATATTCTTCATTTCCGTATTATAGTATTATGGTAATGATTCCTCTTCCTCTTCCTCCTCCTCCTCCTCCTCCTCCCTCCCTCCCTCCATCCATCCATCCGTCCCTCCCTCCGTCCCTCCCTCCTGCTCATGTTCCTGCTCCTGCTCCTGCTCCAGCTCCTGCTCCTGCTCCTGCTCCTCCTCCTGCTCCTCCTGCTCCTCCTCCTCCTCCTCCTCCTCCTCCTCCTCCTCCTCCTCCTCCTCCTCCTCCTCCTCCTCCTCCTCCCACTCCTCCCACTCCTCCGATGCAGCGTGACTCTATGCACACGGTACCTCGGGGGTCCTCTCTGGGACCCATCCGGGACAAGCAGGACGCGCGGCGGCGCGGAAAAACTACGCACACCTGCGAAATGGAAGTAACTAGCCCAACGTGCTTCCGCACCTCCTCCTCCCTCGCGCCTCCCCCGCTCCCCCGTACCCCTGCCACCCGCCCTCCCCCATGCCCCCACCCTTCCTTCGTCCCTCCCCCTTCCCTCTCCCCGATCCCACCCCACCCACCACCTCCCCTCCCCTCCTCCATCTCCTCTTCCCTCCCCTCCCCCATCCCCCTTCCCTCCCCATTCCCCTCCTCTATTTCCCTCCTCCCTTCCCATGCCCCTCGCTCCCTTCCCTCCCCCTCCCCTCCCTCCTCCCTTTCCTTTTTCTTTCAGGACAACTTCCCACCTGGCTAGCCGGGTCGCCCAGCGCGGGTTCCTACTTTCTGCCGCGGGTGCCCCCCCCCCTCGCTTTCCCCTCCCTTTCTCCCTCCCTAATCCCCCTCCCCTCCCCCATCCCCCTCCCTCCCCCTCCCTCTCCTCCCTCCCCATCCCGATACCCCCTTCCCCCCCTCCCTCCCCATCCCCTTCCTCCCCCTCCCTTCCCTCCCTCTCCTCCTCTCCTCCCTCCTTCCTCCTCCTCCACAATTACTCAATATGAATACTACTCTCCCTCTTCCCCCGATGCGGCCTGAAAGTAGCCGACCCCCCCCCCGCGTCCTGCTTTTTTACACACAGGATTCCCGGGAGTTGGGTTTTCGCCTGCATTTTTTTTCAAAATGCTGCTCTCGCCGAGGCGCCGGCCTCATTTTCGGGCCCCGCTCGTTCCGAATCGTGCTCCCGCTGCAGCGCTGGCCTCATTTCCGTGCTTCCGCTCGTTCCGAATCGTGCTCCCGCTGCAGCGCTGGCCTCATTTCCGCGCTTCCGCTCGTTTCGACTCGTGCTCCCGCTGCAGCGCTGGCGTCCCATTTCCGTTCCATGCCACACACACAACCGCACACACAACGCACAACCACAACACACACACACACACCACCACACCACCACCACACCACCACCAACCACCAACCAGCACCACCACCACCACCACCACCACCACCACCACCTACCACCACCACAACCACGCACACACGCAGCACGCACGCACGCGCACCACCACCCACTAGTCCGCGGATAGAGAAAATCACGCCATGGTAAGGATGGGAGGGAGGGGTAGGACGTCAGGTATGACGCGCGCGCACCTAGCTTGCCCATACCCCTCCCTCCCTTCCATCCCAATCCCTCCTCCCTCCTGCCTCTCCCACCTGGTTCTTCAAGGATCCGGCGGGACCGGCAGGAGCCCCTCCTCGGAGGCTGGAGCCTCGACCAGAGCTTCAGTCTCTGCTCCCCCTTTCCGCCCTCTCGGAGGGAAAAAGGAAGAGCAAGGAGGGAGGGCGACGTAGAACATGGACGCAAGGAGGAGGAGGAGGAGGAGGAGGAGGAGGAGGAACAGGAGGAGTAGAAGGAGGAGGAGGGGGAGGAAGGGGAGGAGGGGAGGGAGGGGGAGGAGGAGGGGGAGGAGGAGGAGGAGGAGGAGGAGGAGGAGGAGGAGGAGGAGGAGGAGGAGGAGGGGAAGGAGGAGGAGGAGGAGGAGGAGGAGGACGACGAGGACGAGGAGGAGAAGGAGGCGGAGGAGGAGGAGGGGTGCTGGTGGGAGCGTTGCTGCCACGCTGCGGTGTGGCTCAGAGGCAACACCCCGCGCGCGCCCCCGCAGGTTTTGAGCCCCCGCGCGAGCGATGGCGATCTATTCTAAGGATGTTCCAGTGCCCGATTTCGATTGCGATCCTGAGCTTGATGCTCCTCCCGCTGCTGATCGGTTGAATTCGAGAGTAATTGCGCGATCGTCTACGCGATCTCTTCCACCCCCCTGCGCTGCAAACGACAGCACACAGGGCCGAAAGCCCCGGCATTGTCTCGGACAGTCGTGCTGCTGCGTCACGGCCGGCTGCAAGAGCGGCGTCGGGAGTTCCCTAGGACTTCTGCACAAGACCTCAAGCATAAAGAGAGAAAAATTTCCAGATCACGCTGACCACACACCACACGCACTGCAGATCCCGAAGGCCTTGGACGCCAGCACCTTCCTCGTGTGTAAGACGGGGAAGAGCCTCGCAGAGGTCACGCGGGAGCTCTCCGACATGAGAGTTTCGGGCGGCGGCGGGGGCGGCAAACACTCGACGCCACTTTGCTAGCAGGGGCAGAGGGCCATGCATTGCCAAGCGTGTTTTCTTGGCGCTTTTGGACCCAGACCAAGCTGGCTGGATGGCGCGGACTGCAAGCACCAAGTTTCGCCGAGGCCGTCCTCGCGATTCTGGGCGGCGCGTCCGTGGACATCGGACATCGGACATCGGCCTGCAATCGAAGTGCCGCGGGGGCACAACAGGTGTGCGCCAGGGCGCCGCTATGAGTGACAATGAATGGCGGTGGGACAAAGCACGGGCGAACTATAAAGAAACATATAGAGAGAGAGAGAGAGAGAGAGAGAGAGACAAAGGCAGAGACAGAGACAGAGAGAAAGAGACAGAGACAGAGACAGAGACAGAGACAGAGACAGAGACAGAGACAGAGAGGGAGAGAGTCACACACACTCACGCAAAGGGCCGACAGACAGAAGCAGTGCGTGAACAAATATACAAGGATACGCATGTGAAGCATGCCTACACAAATGACTTACGACGCGCCGGCTCACTTACTCAGCGTGATATATCCTGGTTCGATATTGTCCCAAGTATATGCGGTTGCGAGTTGCAACTTGCAACACATCTGCCACTGTATGTGGTGCATCTGGCACGCACAGCTGCGCGTAACGTAGTGGATCGTCCAACCACCTTGTTTGGGGGCGGCCAGTTCGTCGATGTGTCAGCATGTGCACATCGCACCAAAGTTCCCATTGCAAAACCGATCGTGCCCATTATGTCGTACTACTGGCGACAACCGTCCGTACCCATTCCCATGTGCGCTGTCTGATAGTTGTGGTCCAATATGCAAGATCACGTTTTGAGATGGTAGTTTCCACATGCAGAGTTGCTCGCTTGAACCAGGCTGGCCAGGGCTCGAGCGGGTCTGCGTCCTCGAGGTCGCCTGCTGCTGGCAGTGCGGATGCTGACCCACTGTCTACATATCCCCCGGTGTCGGTGCCGGAATCGTTGGAGTCCTCGTCGTTGCTGTCGCTGGCGTCGCTGCCACCAACGTCGTCCTGTTCTCGCTCCATCTCGTGGAGGCCGGGAACCCTTCGTCGAGACGTCTTGCCATCACCCGGAGCATCTGTCGCCGCGTCGTTCGAATCTTATGATCGAGCTCCTGCGTCGTCGCCCATGCCTCACATTCACGCACCACTGCGGGGACACTTGTCGCGTGGAATAGCAGGATACGGTTGTTCAGTGAGTGATGCGTTCCAGCAAATTCTTGCTTGAAGAGGTAGAACTTTCCCCATGCCGAAGCAATCCGGTTCTCCACTTCCGGTTTGGGGCTGTCGCTGCATTGGAGCTTGCGCCCCAAGTACTCTGTAGCTCGGTCGGAATTCCTTGGGCGACGAAGTGGGTCAACGCTCGTTGAGCTCGCTTTGGCCTGCGACCGTCAAGCAAGACTTGGTATTTTCTGGATGCAATAACAATCCGGCGCCTGCTACTTCGGCGACGATGTCGGAAAGCGCACTGGCCATGTCGGCGCTGGATCGTGCAATGAGGAAGATGTCGTCGGCAAAACGCAAACATTGTCCAAGAGACCGTCGCTGTTGGTTAAAGGTGGGATCCCGCGCAGCGCGCTCGTCGATTTTGTCTTCACCCGTCTCATAACCAAAATTCTGAAACGCAATTGTAGAGTAGCGCGCTTAATGGATCTCCCTGTGTTGCACCACCTTCAACGTTGAATTCCTTGCTGGAGCGGTCTGTCTCGACGGAAGCCGTCTGGTGGTGATGCACTTTTCGGAGCAAAGTGATATACGGAACTGCTACCTGCTGGTCTTCCAGGGCATTCCATACGGTTGCACGCGCGACGCTGTCCAATGGTTTCCTGAAGCCGATTGCCGCCATCCAGGGAGAGATTCGCCATGCGTCCGATATCTCCATCAAGATTGCCGTCGTGGTCAAATGGTCGGTTGTCCTCCTTTTGGGTCCGAAGCCAGCTTGGTCGGGGCTCCGACGGCAGTCGCATTGGACACGCAAGCGGTTGCACAAGAGTTTGAAAAAGAGTTCGCACAGCAACGGAATCGTCGCGATAGGTCGGTAGTTGTCTGGCCGCATCGGGTCGCCGCTTTTGCGCAATACTTTGATGGCAGCGCGTTTTCAGTTGGGGGGCGCGAGTGAATCAGGGCGCTGCATGTTGTTGCACGCGCGCAGCATGACCCCCTTGAGAATCAAGGAGCCCCAGGAGGGATGACGGGAGGAGGAAGGCAAGGAGGGGGCGAAATTTAGCTCCTGTATGCGAGGCCGCGGAATGTCTTGCGCAGTGGGCAGCTCGCGCGCCACTGCGGCCCCAGGCGGCTGGAGATCCCACGCAGGCACAGCGTGCCCACGTAAAACTCCAGCCAACACGGCACCCGCCCTCCCTCTCAAAACCAACGCACGGCACGCATGCCAGACTTTCTCTATGGAGACGATCTCGCCCAAGGACTCGGCCGGAACGCCGCCAGCCTTGAGGGGCGGCGCCGTCTTGTCCTCGAACACCGAATCGGTGCTAGCCAGCAGGCCGACGTCCTTCACCGCGGCGAGGGCGCTCGACGGAAGGAACTTCGCAAGTCTGCCAGGCGCCGTGCAGTTCGTCGGGAGACTCTGCAAATCAAGAGGCAGCGGATCTGCCATCGCAGAGTCGGCGTTGGGCAGGTGGTCCAAGCGAAAAGATTGAACCTGGCGCTCGAGCCGCGCTGGGCACGGAAGAGGTCGTGGAAGAAAGGAAAAAGGGAGGCTTCACGAAGGCCATCTTAGAATGCAGAGGGCGCGAGCCACGGCGAAGAGGAACAGGAAGCTCCGCCAAGGCCCACGTTGAAGGCAGAGGGCAGAGGGCACGGAAGCACGCTGTTCGGAACAACGCGTGCGGCGGCACCCTCGTTCAGCCTGCGGCCCACTACGCAGAGACTGAAACGCTCTGAGAAGATGCGGTTTCAACCTGAAGCGCTGGCGGCTTGGCCCCAGCGCGCGCTGCGCCTCAGCGCAACGTGGCTGACTTTCCAGAGTGCGCTTGTCAAGTCTACGGCTCGCCAAAACAATAACGTTGCCTATGGAGGGTTTCTTGCACTGGATCTCGGTGCGGATCTGCTTGGGGGCTTTGTCGGGGTTGGAGCAGATGTCAGTCGGCGCGCCCGTGGTGTCCGTCGACGTGAATCGCTTCCACTTACCTGCATCGTCGCGAAGGGCTCGAGAAAGAGCGAGTGCCCGAGGTACTGCGAGGGCGCGGTGTCCTTTAACTTGAAGAATGAAGCGGCGTGCGGGCTCATCTCCACGTAGCTCGACGGCGTCCGTGGCCAGGTTGACGGACGCGATCCACTCCTGCAGGTCGTTGAGGAGCGCGTCAGGCGCGATGAGGCGTTGAGCTCGAATGGTGAATATCGTCGGGTCGACCACGCGGTCCCAGTCGGCGAGCCTGGTGAGGTCCGTGATCGGCGCCTGGGCCTCGGCGAGCGCGAGCGTCTCACGCATCTGGTCGATCTGCTGCCACATTCTCTCATGGTCTGCAGCTTGTCGGTCCTGTTCGCGGCGGGTTCTGGCGACAACACCATGAAGGATATCGACTCGGTGTTCAGTGGCTTGTACTTGCTGTGCGAGAGGTTGACGAAAACTTTCTCTGGATTGATTAAGTAGCTGATTGGCTTGCGTTTGGAAGGTACTTGATGCATGTGCGACTTGTGCTTGCATGAGTTCATGTACTGCTGTGCCAGGCCGGGATCCAGTCCAGGGAGACGAACGGGTTCAGGAGCAGGTGGCGTGGCTTGCTCGGTTCCAGCATGATGAGCGGCGGCAGGGGGTCCTGGAGTTGCGCGTTCAAATTCGTGACGTTCTCTCTCACGGCGACGATATTTCCTTCGACGGCTGGCTGCTGGGGCGCTGCGTGAAGTAGATCTCTCTTCACTAGAAGACATGGCTGCGGCTCGTCGGGCACTGAGCTGTTTTGCGTGCGCTGCACCACTTGCCAGGCTGAATACGATGCCACTGCGTAGCTGCTGCTGCTGCTGCTGCTGCTGCTGCTGCTGCTGCTGCTGCTGGGGAACGATCAAATCGGCGTCCAGCGAGTTATGGATGCGGAAATGGGCGACGGTGGTCAGGCCGAAATCCAGCTGTTGCACGGCGACGGTGGTCAGGCCGATGGACAACACGATACGGAAGGCAGCCTGCAATGCCAAGAGCATGAGCAGGAATGGGCGGCCGCAAGCCCCTGAATGTGGCGGCAGGAGGCGTGGGTGCCAGCTCACCCCTGGTTGTGACTGGAAGCTGATGGGGTCTGTCCTCGGCTCAGAGGTCTCCATGCGGCCGCACGGCGACATGGCGATTTGAGCCAAAATGGCTACTGAGGAGGAGGAGGAGGAGGAGGAGGAGGAGGAGGAGGAGGAGGAGGAGGAGGAGGACGGGTCGCCTAAGCCCTTCGGAGAAACCCTCCAGGAGCCAAACTTCTGACGGACTGGTCACTTCAGTCCGCGGGCCCCAGGGGCCCCGACCCCTTCCCCCTGGGGCAGCCTTTCGCTCCCAGATCCGCTCTCGAGTACCCCAAGGCCCGAGAAAGGCCCCCAGAGGCCCACAACTGACGAGACACGGCGGGATTTGGAAGGCACACGACCCGCCCGACCTAGCTGCCCCGACATGCGACGCGCATCCCATGAGCGTGCTGACACGGAGCTCAACCCTAACCCGTGGACTGGAAGCTTATAGGCCTGGCGCGACACGTTCGCCAAGGCGTGGGCCGATGCGCGCGTGAGCGGCGAGCTGGACACGGCACGTCTTGCGCTTCGGGGGGCAGCCTTCCACGGCCTCGGGGGGGCTCCCTCGCCCTCCCGGCCCAGCTGGCCGCCTCGCGCCTCGGCGCCTTCCCCTTGTCCTGCCTGGTGCCTCGCGGTGCTCCGGCGCGCCCCGCCGTTGCTCGACCGCCGTCGGGCGTGCCAGGGCAGCCGGGCCGCCCGGCGTGCGGGGGGGGGGGCAGCTCCTCACTCGCGGCACGGGCTGCGCGCTGCAGGTGCGGTGCGCCCACGGTCGGTGGCGCTGCGCCCCGGAGAGCTCATCGTCCCTCCTCGTCCTGCGGGCCGGGCCCTCCCCAGTCGCCGGAGGCAGCATGACCAGGCTTGAGCTCATCCATACCCCGAACATCCACAGGCCCAGGGCGATGACAATCTCAGGGATGTGCCCTCAGAAGCTGAGGGGAGATCTCCTGATAGGCACCGAGATAGGGTGATGCCAACCATGGGGATATGGACACCAGAACCACGCGCGCGCTTCGCGCGCTTACGTTCTAGCAAGCTCTAATTGTAGTCTGAGGTCTTCGAAATCGGAAGACATAGATTGTCACACGGATCGTGCTCCTCAGGGAGCTCCACCGACGGCCCCAGAGACAGGCTTGACTTGTCGTCCCCCCGCCCATGTTGGTACCCCCCTCGCAGGGGTCGCGCCCACCAAGGAGCTCCACCTAGGTCCCCAGAGACCAGATTCGAATAGTGGCGCGCCCCTCGAGGCGGATCGTGCACTGCAAGTAACTGCATTTGCGCCACCAGAGGGAAGCTTCATAGCGTCGCCCCGCTCACTTCGGCACATCTCTCACACGGATCGTGGGCCGCAATGAGTTCCACGGATGGCCCCAGAGACGAGGTTCGCATCTCGCCCCCCCGCCTACTTCGGCACACCTGGAACGCAGATCGTGGCCCACATGGGATCTCCACCTACGGCCCCAGAGGCAGGGTTCGCATTGCGCCCGTCCCCCTGGCCATTGCGGCACATCCCATCACGTGGATCGTGCCCACAAGGACCATCACCTACGGCCCAGAGACAAGGTTCGTACAGCGCCGCCCCGCCCGTGTCGGCATAACCGTCACGCGAATCATGTCCCAGAAGAATCTCCACCTATGGCACCAATTGGCAGTTTCGCACAGCGTCCCTCCGTCCATTTCGGAACACGCGTCGCACGGGTGGTGCCGAGAGGAGCTCCACCTGCGGCCTCAATGGGCGTGTTCTCTCGGGGGCATCCTCATTATTCGGCACACCCTTCACGCTGATCGTGCCCCACAAAGACTTCAGCGCGCCCTTGCACGCGTGTGCTCCGCAGCAGCCCGCTTTCCGCGTTGCCCCACGGCCCTCAGAGTAGGAAGAGAGACCTGCGCCCTGCGCTACACATGACTGCGTAGGGATGGGTCCGTCTTCAGGCCAATTGCTTGCTTATCTGTGGCCGTCGGCCCATACCGCAACCGTGCCTGAGCTTGGGGCCAGAGGTGTTCGGACACTTGTAGTCCAGGGTCTGATTGGCATGCTTCTCGAGCGCCTCGTAGAGCAAGCTCTGAGGCTTCCCGTGGCCTCTTGTGGGCCGTGTGGGGGCCTCTGCTGGAGCCGTTGGGGGCCTCTCGGGTGCCTGCTGCGGTCTCGGGGGCCCAGTCGGGGCGGGAGGCTCGAAATGTCAGTTGAAATTCCCCTCTTGGGGACCCTCCTGCTCCGTGTTGGGCGCCTGTTGGACAGAATGGGGGCTCTCTTGGGCCGTCATGGGCCTTCTTGGAAGCCTCTTGGACCGTTTTGGGGCGATCTTGGGGGCCTCTTGGGCCGTCCTGAACGATATGAAGACCCCAAAAGCATGCTGAAAATACACGTTTTCCCCAAGGGAATATGGCAATTTGGGCTCCTGGGGCCCGCTCGAGAAGCATATTGCAGGTTTCTCGGGGCGCATTGGGTGCATCATGAGCCGTCTTGAAGCAATCTCATGGCATCGTCGACGCTGTTGGGCTGCTCTGGTCGCTTTTTGGGGGGGGAAACACAGGGGGTGTCCCGGCCTGGGCTCGGGGCCCTCGGTACCCCAGCATATTCAATGTGCTTCAGGCTGGTAACGGCAGGAACATGGGGGGCCACAACACGCCTGGTAGGACTACGCATGCCGACCCCATCGCTCTTCCAGCAGACGTGCCAGGGTGAAGATTCCGCCTGGTCGGCGCCATGAGCAAAAATCATTCACCATATCCCGACGTGGAGCTTCCTGATCGGACGCTGCGTCACAGCTCTGCGAACATACTTCGACTGACGAGGTAATGGTACACGAAACGCACGCTGGCCTGCGGAATCCCTACGTCGTCTGGCGAGCCGCTGCTTTATCTCGACCAGACGGGCGGTCATCACAGTTCAGCTGCATGCGGGGAAAAAGTGGCTGGATCGGCGACTCCTGACGACGCAGTGTGCTGTACATCGCGGGAGGGGGGAAATAACCATATACCGTATGTCATAAAGCATGCCTGCAAAAATAGGTGATGCTACCATACACTGTATTTCCGCTTAGCGACGTCACGATAAAGCAAAACCAGCCTTAGTAGAAAACGCGGGAAAAGGGCCTGAGTGGGTGAGATGTATGGAGCTGTACAGAAGGGGGGGTGGGGTGGAGAGCGAAGGTAGGAGTTGATAATGGAGCAAGGGGTTGTTGGTGCGGAGCTGAGGTGGCGGTGGCGTGGGCGAGATGGGTGGGGTGAGCTGGTGCTGTGGGGAACCCGAGCAGTGCCCCTCGGCATCGGATAGAAAATGATTATCTCACACTACTTCCGCCCCCTGCCGTTTCCCCACCTCCCACCTCCACCATCTTCTTCTGCCCATGCATGCTACTCTCCTCTCCCCTGACTCCGTCCGGAAGCCGTGTTTACACACAGGACTTCAAACGTGTATGTTTATCATGTCTTTGTTTCACTGCGAGTGTTTTGTGCTTCAGCTGGTGCTCTCGCTGCAGCGTGGGCCCCATCTTCGGATCGGCGCTTTGCTCGCGCCGTTTAGAATGGCGCTCTCGCCCAAGCGCGGGCCACTTTTCTGGATCTGGGTATGTCTGCATCGCTGCCCGCCCCCTCCACTTCCCTCCTCCGCCTTCCCCTGGTCCTCCTGTTCCTCCCGCTCCTTCCGCTCCAACCCCTGCTGCTGCTGTTCGTCCTCGCCTGTTCCTCCCGCTCATCCTCCTGCTCACCCGCCACCTCCTCCTCCTCCTCCTCCTCCTCCTCCTCCTCCTCCTCCTCCTCCTCATTCTCCTCCTCCTCCTCCTCCTCCTCCTGTGCACGCATCTCCCCTTTTTCCGATTGCGCATGCCACGATGTGGTCCGTCTGTTGGAGGTGCAGGTCGGCTATGACACGCGTCCGCGGATGGAGAAAAAATCAGCGCAATGGGAAGGGATGGGAGGGAGTGATAGGATGTCAGATGAGGCGCGAGCGCACCTAGCTTGCCTCCTCCCCTCTCCCCGTCCCCGCCCCCCTCCCTCCCCCACGTCCCCCGTTCCCCGTCCCCCTTTCTCCCATCCCCCTTGGACCTTCTCCACTCGCCCCCCTACGAGCACAAACCTACTCGTTCTCCTTCTCAACATCCCCCTCCAACTCCCATCCCTCAAATACTTCTGCGCCATGCCCAAGCGCCCCCCCTCACTGCTATCAGCGCTGCACAAAGGATATGATTTTGAAATCACCGAATGAACAATCAGGAACAAACCTGTGACGACCCCTGAATGCATAAGATGCGTTCTAACCGTGCAGTTAGTTTCAACCCGCCAATCTACCCATGTGGCGTTCAATCATCTTGCACTGCGCTCCTGCATGGCGTACTCGACTGTGTACATCCTCATAGATCAATCAAGTGCATGACGAAGTGTAATGTCAATCGGAAGCGGTGGCAGATGCGGCAAAACAAACACATACAAATTAAGAATAAGGTGTTTGCACAAACACACACACATGCCAACGACGTGCTATTATGGATGCAATTCAGATGTTCGTGTCCCCATTTCATGTGTACGTGTAGTGGCTTGGCAAACTAACCCGCATTTCTGTAGCGTGGGAACTCTGATTACGCCGTGAAGTGACAACAACTAATGCTTTCAAGCAAGCGTAAGATCTGGGGCAGGGATATCTGGCTTGGGCCCACCCTGTTGGGACCTGGGAATTCGATGACGCCCAGTATCCACCTGCATGAGGCCCACGAGTACTTGTGTCTCTGCTCTAGTTTTGTGAAACTCGAAAAATCGATGTCAGTGCTCATATGTGCGAGGAAAAAATCTTAACGTCGTCGGCGTACGGAGGTGCGAAGGCTGTGATCACAAGCTTGGGCCCCCTCGATGCGATCCCCCCCGGATCCAGCCGTTACCCCCCACCCACCCACCCCCGACACCCGCAGCGTCTCCAATTCGGCGGCAATCGGCCGACATTTCGGCCAGCGCCCCAAATTTTGCGAGCTCTGCACGGCAGAAACCATGTTACATCGGCAGGCGCCGTGCGCAAGGGTTTCGGCTTCCGAAGCGATAGATCCCTTGAAGGACGATTTATACGAGCTGCGGACTCGCATTCAGCAAATTGAACATTCTTCTGGCAGAAGCGGCGGAAGTAAGCGGCAGTTGTCCCTATTTGAGCGCCCGAGCATCAGCAATCGTCACCTTTCATCGGGTTCGACGGCCTCGATGGCGACGCACGGACGACCGATTTGGGGGCGCACCAAGATTCGCCAGGGTCGCGGCGGACGGGGGCTGGCACCCCGCATGCTGGGAAGACAGCCACGCGGCGGCCGGCGGCTGACGCGGCCCGAGCCAAGTCGCGCAAGAGCCCAAAGGCGGAGGAGTGAAGGGCGGAGGTCGGCTGGCCTCGGGAGATTTCCCCACGGCCTTTGAAGATCTCAGAGGGCAGAGAGTTTGCCGTCGTCGTCGCCGCCGCCCCCGTCGTCGCCGCCGCCGTCGTCGTCGCCGTCGAGGCAGGGCGAGGCAGGGCGAGGCGGAGGAGCCTGGAGACCCGATGGGGCGCCCCACGCACAGCGCAGCGTGTGCGCGCGGCCAGCTGCCCGACAAGCTCTGCCCGGCGCGGAGGGGAGCCGACGCCGGCAAGGCAGTGCCAGTCGGAGACGAGCGCGAGGCATGTGCCAGAGCCCGGGGAGCAGTGGATCACGCAGTGGGTGGGGGAACAGAAAAGGCACCGGGGCCGCCACTCCCCGGACCTCTCCACAGGTGCGTTCTGACCAGGATTTCGAGGCGTGGCGACGAGGTGAAGGGTAGCAGTAGCGGTATCCGTCGGTGGGCAGAAGTGGGTGGAAGCATGAAGTAGGAAGGCGTTGTTGGAAGTAGATTGAATTTCCGCGCGCACCATGAAGAGGAGGGAACAAGGAAGACCGCTCGACTCTTGAAGTAGGCAGGCGCCTAAAGTACATTGGAATCGGGGTATCCAAAAATATCTACGTTCAACGCCCGGCGTGTCCTCCCTGGGCCTCTCCACAGGTACGTTCTGACCAAGATTTCGAGGCGTGGCGACGGGGGGGAGGGCAGCAGTGGCGGCATCTGTTCCTCGACCGAGTAGGAGCACAGCGGTGAAGGCAGCCCGTGAGGCACAGATTACCAGCCTGGAACTCATCCCCATCCCTATGTGCGGCATCGCCTCGTCACGATGGCGATCTTAGGGATTCCCTCGGTTTCTGAGGGTGCGTCCCCAAGATTGTCATCGCCTTTTGGCGTGTCAATCTTAGGGATGGGGATTAGTTCGTGGCTGGTAAACAGAGGAGAGAGGGAGGGAGAAGGGGGAGGACGAGGGCAAAGACGAAACAAGGCACATGAATCAAGCATGCGAAGCCCTGCAAGCGGGGGCGCAGACGCCTGGCCATGGAGCGGTAGCCTCTCGCGTCGCCACTTGTAGCGATTTTCTGTACCGCAAGCGCGCTGGAGGAGAGACGGCAGCAACCGCTAGCGGGCCACCGGCAGATTCGTCGTCGTCGCCTTCGTTGTCGCCGAAGCCGTCGTGGTCACCCTCGCTCTAATCTTCGCCCTGGCTGTCGTTCGCCTGTTCGTCCTTGTCCTCACCGTCATCGTTTTCATCCTGCCTCGCCTCATCAATTTCCGTCATGTTCGTCCACGTCGTCATCATGCCCCACCGCACCAGGAACAGAATAGGCCAAAACAGGAAACCAAGCCATGTCGTATTAGATCATGCCAGACCGAACTAGATCAGACCACAAGAGCCAATCAGACCAGACTAGACCACTCAGAAACGGACTAGGCCAACATGGGAAAGGCAAGAGGGGGAGTGAGCCACATATGTCCGCAGTTCTGGCCCCGTCGACTGCGGGCGCATGAGCAGCATGGTGGCACGGGGGCGGCATGAAACTGGAAGCCGAAAGCCAAAACAATCGGCCGCCCTGGTGCCCCCTGACCAGTGCAGAACTGACTGCTCCTGGCAAGTCGAAGACCCGACCTCGGCGACGACAACGACCACCAATAAACTAGCCCCAGCCGTGCGAAGCCAAAAAAAGTGCGAACTCCTGCGGACGAGGTTGCCCGCGTCGCAGTTCAGCGGGCTGTCCGCGTTCGGGTCGGACATCATCGCTATCTTTTGGCCGCGGGGGATCGAGCAAGCCAAACGCCAAGGAGAGCACACAGGAGCCTCAGGGGCAAGGGTCTCGAGTGGGCCCCTATCTTCCTCCTCCTCATCCTCCTCCTCCGCCTCCTCCTCCTCCACCTCCTCCTCCTCCGCCTCCTCCTCCTCCTCCTCCTCCTCCTCCTCCTCCTCCGCCTCCTCTTCCTCCTCCTCCGCATCCTCCTCCGCCTCCTTCTCCTCCTCCTCCTCCTCCTCACCCCGCTGCTCCCGCTCCTCCTCCCCCTCCCCCTGCTCCTCACGGGGAGGAGGAGGGGGGGAGGGAATAGCGAAAAGGGTTTATCGAACCAGCTGCGTGCAGCTGGTTTTTCCGGCGCCCCCCGACACCGAGTGGGGCCGTGCATCCAGGTGGTGCCAGGCGGCGGAGCCGAAACCAGCTGCACGCAACTTCTTCGCACCCCCCCCTCTCCCAATCCCTCTCGCTCGCTCGCTCGCAGGTCATATGCCGAAAAGCGCGTGGACAGACCTAGCTTGCACAATACTGGGCAACACCTCTTGCCCCAGCACTGCAATCCTGAACGCTTGCCAGCACATTAGCGTCCGACCCCCTCTTCGTCCGACCCGAGTGGTCCTCGGCCTCTGGCTTTCGGGTCAGTCACAACTCGGGCACCTGGCGGCTTCCGAAGGCTGCAACATCGCCGAGAACCGATGAAAATATCCGACACCCCACGCCCTGTTCCCCCTCCCCTCCTGCTCCCCCGCCGGAGCCACGGAGCGACTTGCCCCGAGGCGGTCGGGGGAATCGGGCCCCGAGCCGTCCCCTCTTCCTGCGCTGCCCCGCGTGGAAGGGAAACAACAAACAAACAGAAGAACAGCGGCGCGCTTGGGGGAGGGGAGGCGGGAGAGCGCAGCGGGGGAGGGAAGACTGAGGCCTCCTCCCTCTCCCCCTCCCTGCTTCACGCCCTCCCTCCCCCCCTCCCTCCTGTCTCGATTCCTCCCTGTCTCACCAGGGCCCATTGGTTCACGCTGCCACCGATGGGGCCTGCTCCCACCAAGCCCACCCTGGCCCAGACCACCGGCTTAACCACTCTGCGCGGGTACACAGTGTGGCGTAGTCCGCGTTAAGAGCCGAGTCGCTGGCCATGCTTTCTCTCGTCGACACGGCTGCACGGCCCTCTCTCAGTTGTCGACAACCAAGCTGTCGTTGACGGATTCGAGAACCTCGTCATCGGTAAACCACCGCTGCTCGTGGGTGCCTGGGCCGACCTCTGGTTGAAGATCCACAGTGTCCTCCGGGCCAAGATGGACATGTTCAGAACCCAGAAGGTTGAAAGCTACCTGGATGAGCAAGGCATCAGCGAGGGGCGTATCACGCCGATTGCTGAAGCTTTGAACCGCCACGCAAACGAACTCGCCACGGCCGGCGCACGACTGCGCAGCGCATTACAGGGCCTCGTCGACGCTGCCAGATGGCGACGTAACTTCGAGGCCGTCCTCCACAACCAGGCCGCCGCCACTTATGACCAGCGTCACCAGACGCTTGCCCTGCCAGATAGAAGAGCGGGCGATTCCAGCGCTGAACTCAGCAAGGTGAAGCCCAGCCCTCTCGCCACTGTCAAGGGGACGTAAGACCTGGGTACAGGGGACTCGGAAATCCCCGACGAGGTCGTCAAAAAAATGACGAGGCCGAGCCTGCATTTTGACGAGGCCTCCCGCTGCAGACATCCCACGAAACTCCTCCTCGTCAAAATCCGAGGCGCGGTCGTCAAAAAACGATGGCGAACCCGAGTCCTGGCAAACCCGGGTCTTACGCTCCCCCGACACTGGCCGAGGCGGCCACGGGCCACCAGGCTCACCAGGCGGCCCCGCTCGTCTCGACGGCCCGCCGGGGCCCGGCGGCTTCGATCGCGTCGCTGCTCCCTGCACGGGCCTGCTCGACGAGTTCGACCGCGAGGAACTCGACCCGCTTGGGCCAGGCGCCTCCCTTAATGATGACGAAGGAAAAGATGTTCCTCTCTCCTAAGCGACTTCGATCATGTCGATGCTCCTTGCATGGGCCTGCTCGACGATTTCGACAGCGAGGAACTAGACCCGCTTGGGCCAGGCGCCTCCCTTACTGATGACGAAGGAAAAGATGGTCCTCTCTCCCAACGTCACAGCAGAGACGACCACAGCGACCACGGCGATCACCACGACGCGTGTGAACCACTCTCAAACGGGCAAGCGCGAGCCGTCCACTGTAAACAGGATTAGGCCGCTACTCAGCTCCTCCTCACACCAGTGTACGAGGAGCATCAAACGGCCAGGGACTACCGTCGGAACAGGGCTCGGTGCTACGGGAACCCAACGAAACACAGAGAATCCGTCACGCAGGACCTCTCAGCGGCCAGTCGGCAACCAGAGGGTGACCGCAAAACGATCCTTATCGCTAGCACCGATGCGCTGCATCAGCGGGCCAACCACCTCGCCCAACCTTTCCAGCACATCCTGGAACAGTCAGCCCCTCTGCTAGACAGGTCCCACCGAGCACAAGCTGCCTGGAACGGCCTCCAGCTGGCCTTCCGACCTGCCGTTTCCCTCGGGGCGTCACTCCAGGACAGCCTCCAGGCTCTCCTTGCTGCTCTACGCGCGGAACATCCGTGCTACTGCCTTTACTCTCCCAGTGGGCTCTGCGAACTGTTGGTTCCTGTTCCGTTGCCCTCTTTCTGGGCCGCCGCGGGGGATGCCCCAAGGTGGCGCCGCCACTGTCTGGGCGCCGCATAACGCGTGCCAAAATGTGTGTGCAGCTGGCGTCTCTCTGTTTGCGGGTGTGCAGAAAGGGCGAGCCTCGCCAATCTCGCCAATTCCCTTCTCTGCGTTCCAATATGTTTCAGTCGGGGTCCCGACAGACCGCGCCATGGGGGAGGGCACAGTGGAGGCCTGTCCACAAGAGACCTTCCACAAGAAACCCAACCCTGAGACCCCAGGACGTCCGTGGATTTTTGGTGTGGGACCGCCACGCTTTCCACAGCAAAACCATCGAAGCCCAAGAAACCCAGGGCACCCTGGAGGCAAGCAGGGTGTTTCTTGGCGTGGGCCTCCACTGTAGTCTCCCCCACCCCTGGTCGCACAAGCGGCACCTCCCGCCACACGAGGCGGGCGCGGCGAGCGCTGGTACCCCGCACCCCCGGACGGAAACCCTCCGCCCGCACTGTTGCGGCATCTCCCTCCCTGCCTCCCTCCTACAGGGCGGGGGGGGGGCAAGGCGGGAGCGAAGAATGGGAAGAGCAGGCAAACAGAGGAACGCAGGGCGAAAAAGGAGGACGAAGAGAGGGGACGGAAAGAGGGAGGGGGGAGGGAGGATTACCGGAGCGACGGAGGGGTGGAGTGACTCAGAGGTGGATGACACGGAGGAATGGTCGAGGGTCGAGGGGGGGAGGCAGGGGAATGCAGGGAGGGAGGGGGGGGACATGGGAGGAATGATTGGAGGGAGGGAGGGGGAGAGACAAGGGATGGACGGCTGTGGGAGGGAAACCAAGGGGGAAGGAGGCTGACTGCTGCTCGCAGTCCGCTTACCCCGTGCCCCTACGCTTCCCGGACCCCCCACCCCGTGCCCCCGCCCCTCCCTGGGGGGCGGAGGCCCTGTTCGCCGCCGCCCTGTTCGCCGCCGCCCTCTTCGCCCGAGACCCTGTCCGCCGCCTCCCTGTTCGCCGTCGTGGTTGTCCTCGTTCTCGTCGTCGTCGCCGTCGCTGCCTCCGTCTCGTTGTCGTCTCGTCATCGTCTCATCGACGCCGTCGCCGTCGCCATCGTCGCCGTCGTCGTCGTCGTCGTCGTCCCGCCCGCCCGACCCGACCCGCCCGTTACGGTCCGCCCGCCCGACCCGCCCGTTAGGGTTCACGCGTGCTCACTCGTGATTGCCCCACACTTTCGTGTCCCGCCCGCACGGCCCGACACGCCCGATGGGGTCCGCCTGCCCGACCCGACCCGCCCGTCAGGGTCCTCCCAGCCCGGCTCGACCCGCCCGTTAGGGTCCTCGCTCCTTCCACACTCGTTCCGATCATCATCGCTCCTTTCATCCTCGCAACGGAGACGGCGACGTCGACGAAACGGAGACGGCGGTGGAGACGGCGACGGCGGGCGCGGCCGGCGAAGAGAGCCCCGGCGAATCGGGTCCCGGCGAACAGGGTCCCGGCGAACAGGGTCCCGGCGAACAGAGTCCCCGGCGACCAGGATTCCGGCGAACAGGGTCCCGGCGAACCAGGTCCGGGCGAGCAGCGTCCCCGCGTACCGGGATTCGGTGAACAGGGTCCACGCCTCCCTGGGGGAGGGGGATCCAAAAGGGGGAGGAGGATCGGGGAGGGGTCGGGGAGGGGTTGAGGAAGGGAGAAGAGAAGGGAGGGGGCGGAGCAGGAGGAGGATCGAGGACGAGGCGTGCGTTTGCACGAGGAGGGAGGGAACAGTAGGGGAAGGAGGAGCACGGGGGAGAAGAAGAATGGGGAGAGGAGGATGTGGCTGACACCTGCACTCTCTGGCTACTCCCGCGCTCTCGGCCAGGCCCGGCGAAGCTCTGCAGCGAGAAAAGGTCCCCTCCACAGCTCTGCACACGTACTGGAGCGTCCACGCGGGGCTCCACTGGCTCTTGAGGATGTCCAGGCATATCTCGCCCGCGGGGTAGCTCACGTTCGGGTGGAATACCTTCGTAACGAACCACGCCTGAATACCCCCCTCCTGTCGCTGAGTTTTGGTTCATGTTCCCCGACCAGTGTGTGCACTCAAGGGTTCTTGCTTCTCTTCCAAGGAACTGGGTCTGGCTGTCGGTCCGGTGGGCTTGCAGCAGCCCGTCATCGCCGTCCTTGGTCACGGCATTGATTGTGCGAGGCTCGCTCGCACATTACTTTGCATTGCTTCGCCTTGCTGCATTGCTCTGCATTGTCCTGCATTGTTCTGCATTGTCCTGCATTGCTTTAAATGTGTTGCATCGCATTGCGTTACTTTACATTGCGTCGCATTGCTTTGCTTTGATTTGCACTGCTTCACATGTTTTTCGGTTGCGATGCGTTGCATTGCAATGCACTGCATTGATTTGCAAAGTTTTGGGTTGTTCTGCATTGCTTCGTATTGTGTTGCACTGCTTTGCATTGCTTTGCATTGCTCTGCATTGCTTTGCATTGCTTTGCCGTGCGTTGCAAAACATGGCAATCGTATTGAATTGCGTTGCAGCGCTCTGCATTTATTTGCATTGTTTTGCGTTGAATTGCCATGCTTTGCTTTGCTTTGCATTGCGTGGCATTGTTTGCACAGCATAGACTGCACTACAAAGATTGCACCACCTAGACTGCACCACCTTGATTGCACCTTCTAGATTGCGGCGCATATATTGTAGGACATCGCTGTCCTCTCTCTCTCTCTCGCTCTTGTATCCCTGAAACAGCGAAGGCCCAAAGTTCTCTTTTAGAGGTTTACCCCCGGAATCGACTTGAAGGAGGCCGGCGGAATTATTTTGCGATAAATGACGAGTTTGAAGGAGGCCGGCGAAATTAATTTTCAGGATGCCTCGAGCGAAACGCATGTGTTTCATAATTTGTTGAGTATGTCTCGAGCGAAACGCTTAATTGATGTTATAGATTGTCCTCTCTTGGGAACCAGAATTCAGAGGATCTTTCAAGTGAAATGCTTGTTTTCACGTGCCCAGGTCTTGAGGATGTCTCGAGCGAGACGCTTGGTTTCACGTGTCCAGGTTGCTCAGGCAGAGGTCTATCGCCAGGATTTGTTGAGGACGTCTCGAGCGAGACGCTTGGTTTCACGCGTCCTCGTCGCCCAGGCGGATATCTAGCATGAGGATGTGTTGAGGAAGTCTCGATCGAGACGCTTGTTTGCACGTGTCCAGGTTGCCCAGGCAGACGCCTAACATGAGGATGTGTTGAGAATGTCTCGAGAGATACGCTTTCTTTCACGTGTCCAGGTCGCCCAGGCGGATGTCTAACATGAAGATGTGTGGAGGATGTCTCGAGCGAGACGTTTGCTTTCACGTGTACAGGTCGCCCAGGCGGATGTCTAGAATGAGGAGGTGTTGAAAACTTCTCGAGCGAAACGCTTGTTTTCACGTGCCCAGGTCACCCAGGCGGACGTCTCACATGAAGATGTGTTGATGATGTCTCGAGCGAACCACTTGCTTTCACTTGTCCACTTCGCCCAGGCGGATGTCTAGCATGAGAATGTGTTGAGGATGTGTTGAGCGAAACGCTTGTTTTCACGTGTCCAGGTCGCTCAGGCGGATGTCTAGCATGAGGATTTTGACAGGATGCCTCGAGCGAAACGCTTGTCCCCAGCACGTTCCGTAGCGCGTCCCCTTGGCACGTCCCGCGGTGCGACCCCGTAACGCGTCCCCTGGCACGTCGCCTGGCGCGTCCCTTGGGACGTTTCGCGGCGCGTCCTCCTGGCATGTCCCCCTGTCAATTAGCTCTGGGGCAGCTACTATGTATTCAGGCAACTCGAGCTTAAGATCCAGATCATTCCGGTCAGGACTCGGATGCAAAGGAGGACTCGATCCACAACACTATAGAGCACAATCGCGGCATGGCATATCGCAATTCAGCACGGTGCAGCACAGCACAGCCCTCGGCAGGGTACATCAAGATCGATACACTCAACATTGCATTTGCCCGTCACCCAATCGGGTATCTTTGAAAACGTTGCCATGCGTTGCATTTCAATATTCCTTTCCGGGTTCGTGGGTCGATCATGTTTCCCGGAAAGGGCACGGGCCCTGATTTCTCTTATAGTTGGTTTCCCCCCAGCCTCGACTTGAGGTGGGCCAGCGAATTTAATCTGCGATAGATAACGAGGTCGAGGTGGGCCAGCGAATTCAGATTTGAGGATGTCCCGAGCGAAACGCTTGTGTTGCAGACATTGTTGAGGATGTCTCGAGCGAAACGCTTGTTTTGTGTTATATGTTGTCCTCTCCTGGGGGCCAGAATTCAGAGGATCTCTCAAGTGAAATGCTTGTTTTCACGTGCCCAGTTCTTGAGGATATCTCGAGCGAGACGCTTGGTTTCACGCGTCCAGGTTGCCCAGGCAGATGTCTAGTCTAGAATCAGGATTTGTTGAGGGCGTCTCGAGCGAGATGCTTGTTTTCACGCGTCCACGTTGCCCAGGCGGATGTCTAGCATGAAGATGTGTTGAGGAAGTCTCGATCGAGACGCTTGTTTGCACGTGTCCAGGTTGCCCAGGCGGATGTCTAGCATGAGGATGTGTTGAGAATGTCTTGAGCGAAACGCTTGTTTCCATGTGTCCAGGTCGCCCAGGCACAGCACAGCGCTCGGCACGGTGCATCAAAATCGATACACTCTGCATTGCAACCTGGCACGTCCCCTGGCACGTTCCGTGGCGCGTCCCGTGGCGAGTCCCCCTGGCACGTCGCGCGGCGCGTGCGAGACGTTTGCTTTCACGTGTCCGGGTCGCCCAGGCGAATGTCTAGCATGAGGAGGTGTTGAGAACGTCTCGATCGAAACGCGTGTTTTCACGTACCCAGGTCACCCAGGCGGACGTCTAACATGAAGATGTGTTGAGGATGTCTCGAGCGAACCACTTGCTTTCACGTGTCCAGTTTGCCCAGGCGGATGTCTAGCATGAGGATGTGTTGAGGATGTGTTGAGCGAAACGCTTTCACTTGTCCAGGACGCCCAGGCGGATGTCTCGCAAGAGGATTCGGGCAAGATATTTCGAGCGAAACGCTTGTCCCCAACACGTTCCGTAGCGCGTCCCCTTGGCACGTCCTGGGGTGCGTCCCCCTGGCACGTTGGGCGGCGCGTCCCCTGGCACGTCCCCTGGCACGTCCGTGGCACGTCCATTGGCACGTTCCATAGCGCGTCTCCTTGGCACGTCCCGCGGTGCGTCCCCATGGCACGTCCCCTGGCACGTCGCCTGGCGCCTCCCGTGGGACGTTCCGCGGCGCGACCTCCTGGCATGTCCCCCTGTCAACTAGCTCTGGGGCAGCTACCGTGTGCTCAGGCAGCTCGAGCTTAAGATCCAGATCATTCCGGTCAGGACTCGGATGCAAAGGAGGACTCGATCCACAACGCTATAGAGCACAATCGCGGCATGGCACATCGCAATTCAGCATGGCGCAGCACAGCACAGCCATCGGCACGGTAAATCAAGATCGATACACTCAGCATTGCATTTGCCCGTCGCCCAATCTGGTGTCTTTGAAAAGTTGCCATGCTTGACATTTCTACATTCATTTCCTGGTTCGTGGGTCGATCACGTTTCCTTCCGGCGCTCCAAGACGGCCCGAGAGGCCCCCAAGATAGCCCCAAGACGGCCCACGAGGCCCCCAAGATCGGACGCCTGCATGTCAACAAATAGCGACAACAGATCCGTCTGCACTTTTGTGTTCTAGACTCTCGTATGGCAAATATCAAGCTACATCCAAGTTGCGAGGTGAGGAGTGGGAAAGGAGGACGAAGAGGGGGGGGGAAGAGGAAGATGAAGAGGAGGAAGATGTTGACATCCACTGCCTCGATCCCCCTGCAAGGGGGCATAAACACCACTGGATGGGCCACCATGGGTTCCTGAGCCGCGCCCACCACTCCCCGCTACACATGCTTGCAGAAAGTGAGGAGGGAGGAGGGATGTGATTAGGATGATGGGGAGGAGGGGAAGAGATGAAAAGGAGGAGGACCAGTGTAAACCTAGCATGCACCCACGATGCTGCAATACACCCTGCCGTCCCAAGTTCAGCCTTCAGAACTCCCCACAAGCGTGATGTTTCAGTACGGGGCGCGCTGCCTTGAAAAACGAGCGCCCAGTGGGACTGCCATTCAGGGGCGAGCTCGTTTAGAAATTGAACGACCCTGCATCGTTGGAGCTAGAAGTCATTCGAAGGCGTAGGGCATTACAGTTCAAAGAAGTGTCAAAGCAAGAGCACTGCAATAAAAAGACAACGCCCCCGGGCGGTGCAGATGCTGTGCCTGATTACACTCCTAGCATTGAATACACTTGCGGAGGAAGTCTCCAGCGAGAACTCCGTTCCGAACATGGTCCGCCCTCCACCCATGCAGCTGCTGCGCAAATATGCAGAGCTGTTGGAGGTCCCAAACGATTGACCAAGACTGATCAGGAGCCGCCCTCCCTCCTTCGCTGCCTGGAACAATCGAGACAAGGGCGCGCAAGGCTAAGGCGAGAACCATATGTTGATACATCCCCACTGCCCTCCATCCGTGTAGCTGTTGGAAACGCTTACGACGATTGTGCACGGCGCCGACGCTAGAGTCCCATGTCGAAAACAACCGCCCTCCACCCGCACAGCTATTGGAAACATCAGGCTCCACACTCACGAGCCGTGAAGAAGTCTCAAGCGAAACGCACGGCCCACCCTACCGACAAGACTGGTGGTGCTGCGAGAAGGGTAGTCATAAGGAAGTTCCACGGTCGGGAACACTCGGGCGAATGATTCGATCAAAAATGTTGTATTGAACAAGGACGCACCAAAATTTACACCCCGTGAATTGCAGCCGCGGCCTATACTTCCACCGATCGTACCAAGCGTTCCTATTAATCCGCGAGAAACGCCGATTGATCACCTTTCAAGTGCAGCAAACTATAACTCCGGAACAGCTGGCATCGTTGACAGTCAAGAGGCAGCGGAGTCAGGAAGTAACTCCGTTGACAACTCAGGAGCAGCAGACAACGTTGACAGCATTGTAAGTCAA